CAGAAAGAAGAAAAATGGGATCTATTAAAGAAGAGCCAAATGAAAATTCTAGAGCTGAGAACTATACTACCTGAGTCAAAAAATTCACCTATGGGAGCAGATTAGGAATATTAATTAAAAAGTTCAGTGTGTTATCTGTTGTGGCATAATAAATTGCTCCTAATTTTGGTGGCTTAAAACAACATTTATTACCTCGGTTTTGTGGTCAGGAATCCAGCACAGCTTAGCTGGGTCCTCTAGCTTGGGGTCTCCCACAAGACTGCGGTCAAGGTGTCATCCAGGGCTACAGTCATCTCAAGGTTCATTCAGAATAGGATTTGCTTCCAAGCTCACTGAGTGGTTGCTGGCAGAGTTTATTTCCTTGTGAACACTCTTAGTTCTTTGTCACATGGTTCTTTCTGTAGGGAAGTTCATAAGGTGGCAAATAGCTGGCTTCACCAAAATAGCCAAGAGAAATTGTTTGTAACCTGGTCTCAGAAGTAATATCCCATCACTTTTGCTGTATTTTATTCATTGGAAGTAAGTCTCTAACCCTCCTACAAAGGCCTGTCTGTGGTTTCCTATCTTTGGACACATAAGAATTGGAGGCAAAGAAATGTGGACTTGGAGAAGCCTGGGGCCAGCTTGCTCCCTGCAGGCTCAAGATCAACCATCTCACATAGAAGAGAAAAGAAAGAAGCACCCAGTCTCCACGTCTAGCCCACAAATGAGGAGGAAACACAGTGGTGTGAAAGCAGGAGGCAGGATCATTGGGAGCCATTTCAGAACCTGTCTACACAATCAGTGAACTTTAAAACAGGACAACAGCAACTATTCAGGCTGAAGCACACAGAGAAAAAAGTGAATGAACATTGACTGTGAAATTATATCAGTTGTTCTAACATGTACTTGGAGTCTTAGGGATGGAGGAGAAAACTTTTCCTGATTTGATTAAAAATAACAGTTTGCTAATCTTGGAAGCCCGGTGAAGGCTAAATAGGATAAATACAGAGAAAACCACATGAAGGCACATCGTAGTCAAATTGCTGAAAACCACAGGAAAAGATCTTAAAAGTGGCCCAAGAAACCAAGATAAGAATGATTGCTAACTTCTCATCAGAAATAATGCAATCCAGAAAACAGTGAAGCAATGTCTTGAAAGTGCTAAAAGAAAACCTATCAACCTAGAATTCTATATTCAGTGAAAACATCCTTCACAAATGAAGGTAAAATAAAGATATTCAAAAAAATGAAAGAATTTGTTGCCATTAAACCTTCACTACAAGAAATGTTAAAGGCTGGAGGGGGAAAAAAAACCTGATAGAAACGCAGATCTATACAAAGAAATCAAGAGCACTCAAAATGTCACCAGTAGCAACTGTGTGGAATGAACCAAGAAAAAGAAAGTAATCGAGAGAGAGGCTTCTTCAGCAGGGACTGGCCAACTCTGGCTTACAGGCTCAACACGGCCTACCACCTGTTTTTGTATGGCCTCTGAGCTAAGAATGGTTTTTTACAGGTGAAAACTTGCAATTGATTTAATGATAGAGAACACCAATTTTGAATTCCATTTAAGTGAAATATTATCCCCCCCCAAAGAAAATTATATTCTCATTAGTAGACCTGTATTACTGCCCAAAGTGCATTTGATTATTACATTTTTAATTTTGTCAGTAAAATGTGGATTTTTTTTCTCTCCCTAGCTATATAAGTACCTAAAATATCTTTAATTTTGCCTCTTGGCTTGCAAAGCCTAAAATACTTATTATCTGGCCCTTTACAGGAAAAGTGTGCTTGGCTTAGAGAATGGAGGTAAAAGATAAAGGGAACACACATGTGCCAGGCAGTGTCCCAAGTGCTATGTGTGCACTGCTTAATTCCTGCAGTGGCTCTGTGGAGCATTACGTACATTTATTATAGAATTCTAGGATTGTTGGCTTTATTCTGGCAACAACTCCATGAGGCAGATACGATTCCCATTTTATAAATGAGGACTCGGGGCTCAATAAAGTTATGTAACTTACCCAAAGTTACTTATAAAAGGTAGAGCTTTACATTCATCCCTCTGCCACTGACATGTAGCCAGGGCACTTAAGCTACCTTTTTTTTTAATGGAAAAGTATCCCTCTCTCTGACTCAGAATCTATAAGGCTTTTAACAAAGTCCCAGCCATGCATGGTTATCTGGTTTTTTTCTAAAGGATATTAAATATAGAAAATTAGAAGAGAGGAGAAAGGATGACAGAATTTAATAAAGACAGTGGGAAGTGAAAACTGACAAGAGTTAAAAAATGAAACAAAACGAAAACTATTAAAAAGCAGTCCAGGAATTCGGCACAGTAGGATGGCAGTATGCAGCTATTTTGTGACAACACATAGAGTGTTTTGCAACCCTGAGGAAATCATGATATTCCATAAGCGCTTCTGCTGCATATGGGAATAGAAAACTTGTTCCATGGAAAAGCACTTGTATGATTGTCAGAGTTGCAAGCTGAACTAGCCATTTATTTCCTGGAACACCATTTCTACAAATAAATCAGAGGCTTCAAAAATGGTGCAGGGTGGGACTCTATCATTCCTGCCCACCTCACTTTTCCTCAGGGGCTCTGGAATGAACTCTGGGGACAGGCAAGGGACATATGCAGCCCCCCAGCATAATAAACTACAGAAGGTGGCGTGTTTGTGGTCACCTGGCCTCCGTATGCAGCCTTGCGGAGACGTGACTTAGGATGGTTTCTTATGTTTGTTCATGTGACTGTTGTGCAGACGAATCAGAGGCCTCCCCTCTGAGCCCACAGTTGATATGCTCCATGGAGATGGTGTCACGGCTTCCTCCCAGAAGCTCCCAGGCCCATGCACACTGTGCACCACATACACCACGTAGAGATTTAGCTCTAGCCAAAGAGGCGCAGAGTAGCTTTTTAATGGTGTCTCAGTTATTCAGGTGAAACATGCTCTGGCATCTTGAGGTTTTGTTTTGTCAGTGACGAGTGGGAGCAGGTGGTGTAGACAGTCCAGGAGATCACTTATCAGAGTGGTCAGTGAACCCCGAAGCTTCAGGTCTCCAGGCTTCCCAGAGACCTTCTGGTCCTTCTTAGCCCCAGGCCCTGGAGTCTGTGTCTGTCATGGCCAGGTGTCAGCAGTAAGGCCTCCTAGAGGGGGTGTCTGTGTGTCCTTCACAGCCCTGCGACCTTCATAGATGGCTCTGTTTGCTCACCGTGTGGCCAGCAGAGAGCCGCATTGTTCCACCTCAGTGATGTCACCAGGACTCTTGTCTAGGACGGACCCTGTGCAGATACGGGAGCACACACATGCATACATGCAGCTACATCTATTTATGAGATTCACTTTCTTACCGGAAACAAGTAACTTATGTATTAATGGAATGATTAGCTTCCGGCTAAGAATTCTGACAATTTAGTGCCATGATTTGGAATCAGGCTAAATTTGTCAAGTGACTGAAAACGAGGTAATTTTCAGAAGTTATTAGCTAATTTTTTCAATATAGAATTTATAGTCACAATTAGTATATCATAATGATGTTTCTAGGATAAAATACCAGCAGCTCAACTTTTCTGGCCACAGATGTACAACATATATCAGTTTATTTTTGGAGATCTGAGGAATTACCTACTGTAAATAAAGTCCCCAAGAAGATTTCTCCGGGAAAGAGGTGAACTTACAGTAATATGGGTGATATATTATTAATTAATAACTATGACCAGCTGCTGCTTCAATTAAAAGGACAGCGGATGCAAAGGCCTAATAGAAAGGATGTGCTGCATTCGAATCTTATCAGCAGAGGTCTGCCAAGCAAACTAGGCTAGGCTGGTTCTGAGGCCTCTGTGTTAGAGATGTTTTAAAGGAGCCTAAGAGGAGAATAGACTGAGATGGGCTGGCATCTATGTTCAGTTTAGAGGAGGGAATCTGATTGGCATGTGTGGCCCAAAGGACAGGCACGGGGAGTATAGATGTGGCGCAGGTGTTATGATACATTGTGGGTGGTCACATGAGGAGGGTGCCTAGAAATGTAGCTGTGAAGACTCGCTCAAGGAGGTGCCAGCTGAGCCAAGAGCCCCAGGATGGGCAGGGTTTTTCCAGGCGGGTTAGTCAGGCCTGGCCATGGGGGGTGTACTGTGCCCTGGGCTGGCCTGTGGCATGCGAGGGCAGTGGAGAGAGGAGGTAGACCAGGAGCAGTCTTAGAAGTGATGAGGTTACTCTGAAAGTGATAAGAAAGGGCATGAGAATTCGGATCTGGGGGAGTTCAGAGGTTCTGGCCCCCTGAGGTCGGTCTGCTTTGTGAAGGGCCAGCTTTCCATGGCAGTCTTTAGAGCAGCCCTCCCCCCACCCCACTCATCCTTCCAGGGTAGAAATGATGGGGCTCCCTCTCCCTGTAGGTGCCAGGGCCTCCGAGAGGGTTCATAATAGCATTACTATTGGCCTTTCTCCTTCCTGTTGCTCAGTATTTGACTTGAAGCACAGTTATTTTTAAGAGTAATAATTTAGCCCAGCCGGGCGTGGCTCAGCGGTTGAGCGTCGACCTAGGATCCAGGCAATTGGGGTTCAATTCCCGGTCAGGCCACATGCCCGGGGTTGCAGGCTTGATCAGTGACTTTCATCATTGATGTTTCTCTCTCTCCCTCTCCTTTCCTCTCTCTGAAATCAATAAAGATATATGGGAAAGAAAAAAAAAAGTAATAATTTGGAGGTAATTGGCCTTTTACCTCAAAATACCACCTTTTCCATGTAATTATTGTGTGGAAGAGGTTCCGCAAAGCCTTCCTAACGTGATATGGCCCCGAACACACCCCAGAGTAAAATGGGGCCTCACTAGCCATTTGACTTGATTTATTTTTTTACCTGTCCATTTTCTCCCCAGCCTGTGATGACAAAAATGAACCACTCCTGGGACAAGTAGCTGCCACACAGCCTCCACAGCTCTCGCCTGAGTTGGGAAGATGATAGAATCAGTGGGAGCCTTCCCCGTAGGCAACCCCTCAACACTGCCTTTTCTCTCTCCAGGTCACGCAATATTTAAACTCACGTATCTAAGCAATCACGACTATAAACACCTCTACTTCGAATCTGATGCTGCTACGGTCAATGAAATCATGCTGAAGGTGAGTGTCCTGGGCCCGGGCACTAGGTGCAGGGATGGCGTCTGCTGGATGGTTCTCAGGCCAGGCGGCAGCCCCTCCCCCCTTCACACTGGACAAGGCCTCGGGCCTAGTTTTGCAGAGGAGGAACCCAGCCGGTAAGTGCTGTGCCCAGAGCCACACCGCAGGTCAGCTTCCTCCCAGCTCCCCAGGAATCCTGACTCTGTGTATTTATTTATCTTTCTTAGGCCCCATTTATTTCCTTCCATCCATTGTCAGGAGCCCTTTTGGGCTCTTGGAACAAACTCTGAGGAAATTGTTGCTGTTGTTTGAGGACACCTTAGTGTACCCAAGATAATTTTAGCAACCTGTTCTAAACACACCAACTTGATGCTGGAATTGTGTGTCACGGTGTCTCAACAATGCGCACTGAGCACCTTCTCAAACCAGGCGAGTGTTTGAGATGCTGTGGGGACCAACGCAGCCCCTGCCCTCAGAGCTTTTCCTGTCAGAGGACACAGGCATTGAACACTGAAATTATCAGCAGCGTTTGAAGGGGCAGAGAGGCAGGGGCCCAGCACAGTGTGACTGGGGGGCTGGAGCAGAGGAAGGTTGGAGAGGCCAGGCCACACAGAACCTTACAAAGTGGGTCAGACTGGAAAAGGCTGCCCCAGGGTCTTATTGGTTCAGGAGCCAGGGTATAGCCTGAGGTGAGCATTTCTGAGCTGCTCCCAGGTGCTGCCAGGCTGCTGGCCTGTGCACCATGCTCTGAGTAGCCCTGGACTGTAGTGGTTTCCAGGCTTCCAAACTGAGGATCCTTTCTTCACATCACTGATTCTTATGTAGATGCTCAGATAGAAGAAAACAGAGCTGCTTTGGCAGAGCAGGTCTTAGAGCCAGAGGGGGCTCGAAGTTGTGTGATGCTGGCTACCAGGTTCATAGAGCACCTAGATCACAGCCGCCTCTCCCCTGCCACTCCCCAGGGCCAGGCCACAGGGACACGGTGCCTGCCTGGAGTGCTTAAAACCAGCGAGCTAAGAGTTACTTGGCAGTTCGTCACCAGACAGCACAGGGAACTTGTGCAGAGTATTCAGGGACTGGGTAAAGAAATATTCCATTACCCCGTCAGGGGCTGGGCTTTTTTTATAGCCAGCATTAAAATATTCAAGACTTGAGAAGGATTCTAGTAAAATTATAATCCCGTGTTTGACATCAAAATAATTTTCACAACAGCAGATTGATGACAGAAACACAGGTTTATGACTTTAGCGTGAGACTGTGGAAGAGCAAGTGCCGAGAAATCATCTTACGGACCAAATGCTCCCCCGAAGCAGATGCTTCCTGCAAAATCCCTGAGGCCCATCGCCGCCCCGAAAATGTCTGTTTTCATAGCAAATGTTTGTAGAAATATTGCATCATGCACGAGACTCCGGGAGAGTCACAGCATGCCCAGGCCTGATTTAGTTAGAGAGCTAACGACCATGGTCCTGATGGAAGATTAAATTTCACTTCACCCCTCTCTGATTTTTATAGCAATTTAAATACTTAACCTTACCTGCCGTTCCCATGGTGTCTCCTTGAGCTCTGCACCACTATCCAGTGACTGCAGCCCCAGCCCGTTTCCAGGAATTTGGCAGAAGTGTTTCTATCAGAGGCTCTTCAGGGCTCGGTCTTAGACTCATGTAATGCATGTGGGGGTTCTAGAATTCAGGCGTTTGACATAAAATGAGCGCCTTAGGAGAAAATAAGGGCCAGAGGCTGATGTCAGAGAAACTATGACGAACAGGCAACTCTCCAAGTTATTTTATCTCATCATGTTTCCCCTGTGTGGAAACATTAATGTCGCCCATTTATTGAGCACTGACTGCATGCAAGACGTTTTATGTCTGTTATCTCACTCAATCTTCACAGCTGTCCTGCAGTGGAGATGTTATTTATCCCCATTTTATTGATGTGGAGATAGAGGCCCAGGGCCACAGAGCCCAAGCAGAAGGGTGGAGTGTCAACTGGAACCCAGCCCCAAGGAGTTCCCCAGCCGCCCCTTCCCGCCCTGAGATATAATGGAGCGAAGCCATGTGTGGTCCCTAATTCTGCAGGCTTGGAGATGAATCTCAGAGGAATCGTTGGTCTCTTCAAATCGGGTTCTTCTCATGATCGAGTGATGGAGGCTGTGGCTTTATTGGCCATGAAAACTCCCTATATTTTTACGCCTCAGGCTGTAAAATGCATTGAAAGTGAAACACTCTATAGTGCATAAAATTGTGCAAGTTTTAAGCCACAGCATATTAACCAGCTAATGGCAGACCAAAGGGCGTTTTTATCTTTTGATTATTACATTAATCTTCCATTAAAATTATCTATGTGATTATCACAAAGCACTGAAGATAATAAATTTAGGAAATAGTTGGCTTGTTAAGGATCGTTTTGAAATGCTTTTGTCAAGTTACATATGCCAAAAATACACTGAAAACACGAGGCTGGCTGAGTGTGCAAACAATATAATCCAAAGATTGCTCTCATTAAGAATGATAAACCCTTTATTTCCACACATTGTCTGTAGTGTCCCGAATCGCCAACCCGGCCCTACAGCCCTCATGATTTATTGCTCTCAGCTGGTAACTTGGCGAGGCAGTGGGCCAAGCGTGTCAGGCCTTCTGTACGCACACACCAGCCTTTAATGCCTGCTGCTGGCGACTATCAGAGCAGAAAGTTTGGAGGGGACACAGTGCCAGAGCCTCAGCCCCTTGTGAGGGGGCCATCCCACACTACCTCCCCTGAGTGCCACGTGTTCTTTCTCAGAGTCAGTAGGGGACGCTCCCACTCTGGGTGCAGGACATGTGTCCCTCAGAGTAGAACCAGCAGAGGTGGTGGCTGGTTTCTGTACCCAAAATATTCAGGTTTCTTGTCATAACTTTATATATTTGAGAGTGAAGAGAAATGCTGTTTGCTCACAAAAAGCTCCAACCAGAGGAGCTGGGGGCAGTGGGAGGAGTGGTGTGAGGGGGTGGGGGTGCCTCTGAGGAGGTGGGGCCTGGAGACCCAGGGGTCTGGCAGTCAAGGGCCTGACACCACCACTGCCGCCACCACCCCCAGCTCCTGGCCCAGACACTAGCTTTGTGATCTTGAGTCAGTGGCATTGCTGCTCTGTGCCTCAGCTTTCTCACTTGGACACTGGGGCTCATAACGGCATTCCCCCCCTCAGGCTTCGTGCGGGCCAAGTGAGTTCATCCCTGAAACGCACTCCAGCGCTGCCGCTGCCCTGCCAGGGGCTCCCCCCGACACCGGGCGCAGGTCTGACCACAGCACCTCTGCCCTTCCTGCCTCCTCCCACCTCAGCTTGGCCGGCCACTGAGCTGCCGCAGTTCCACGGACACGCTCTTGCTGTGGTCCTCCGCTGTGCCGTATGCTCGTGGTTCTCCCCGCCCCTTGTGCACCCCACACTCCTAGTTCTCTCTCTAAACCCGGCTCTCTGATCCCCCTTGCAAGCCTTCCTGCCCATACCTCCCCAATAGCTAACCCTTCCTTTGTGCTCCTGCTGTATCTGTTGTCACTCCTGTCACACTATTGGACACTCACTAGGCTGTGAATTCCTCAGGACATGGACCAAGTCTTACTTTCCCTTTGTCCCTTCAACCAAGCAAGGGGCCAGGCTCAGACACAGCAGATGCTGGTGACTGTGACTGTATGTGTGTCAGCCACCCAGCATGTGGTAGGTCCACATGTGGGGATATAAAAAGATCCCAAGCCCTGGCCCGTTTGGCTCAGTGGTTAGAGCATAGTATCGAAGGTTCGATTCCCGGTCAAGGGCACGTACCTGGGTTGTGGTTTGGGCCCTGGCCCTGGTTGGGGCGCATGCAGGAGGCAACCAATCAGTGTGTCTCTCTCGCATTGATGTTTCTCTCTCTTCCCCCTCTCCTCCCATCCCTCCTCCTCCTCCCTTTCTCCCACTCTCTCTAAATAAAAATAAAAAATAAAAAAGACCCCAAGAGTAGCAGCGTGCAGAAGGCTGAACTCCTTGTCTGAGCTGTAACCAGGAAGGCAGCCGGCTGTGCACTCTTCACACCGGGCTTCGTCCCAACCTCTGCGTGGTCCTGGTCAGCGCCACACTCTTCCCTGAGCCTCACTTTTCTGTTTATCAGAGGATCCCTGGCTGGTGGGGAGCTTGTGAGCATTAAATGAAATACCGTAGTTGGAAGATCTACCTGCTGGTGGGAGACTGAATAGAGATCCTTGGTTTGGTTTGGTTTTCATTCCAACGGTGTTCTCATCTTTCTGACGAGGAAAGGGGGCTCAGGGAAGTTACGTGTGAGCCCAGAGCTGCACAGCAGGCGAGGAGCAGAGCCAGGACGTCCAGCCTGCCAGGTTGCTGTGACCACTGGGCTCCAAGCCCGGGAGAGCGCCTCGCCCTGAGGGCACCCAGCCCAGATGCCCTTTGTCGCCCTGGGCGAGCAGAGCGTGGCTGTTGGCAAGTGACCACTGTGTCCTCTTGCTTTCTAGGTTAACTACATCCTAGAATCACGAGCAAGCACTGCACGGGCTGACTATTTTGCTCAGAAACAAAGAAAACTGAACAGACGTACAAGCTTCAGCTTCCAGAAGGAGAAGAAATCAGGGCAGCAATGACACTGGCCTCCAGCCTCAATCTGTTGCCATAGCTCAGAGCCTGTCTGCCAGGGCCAGGTGGCCTAGAGCCCCCCCTGTGTCCTGCAGTCCTCGGGGGAGGCCAGCCCCTGGCTCCCAGGGACAGGGCTGGTGGGCTCCTGGGAAAGGGATGGCACCCCTTAGGACAGAGCTGGGGACATTTCCATGGGACTGAAGCCTGAGTAGCAGCGGCTTTAATTAGTGCCCAGGGCCAGACGCCGAGAGGAGCCACGTGCTGCCCAGCCATCGTCACTGCCTGACCGCCCGCCCGAGGATGTACATAGCCATGCCCAGACATTTCCTTGCAACTTGATCAAATTTCTTAAACGAACAAAAATGTACATTTCTTTTTCCTTTTAATAAACAGGTGTGCTCCTTATCATGGTTGGTATGACGGGCCATTCTTTGGGGCGGAGGATTGATTGTGTTACTCACTTTAAAATCTGTTCCCATATTGAACAGGCAGATTGGAAAAGCTATGGCTCGATTTCTCAGAAGAAATGTTTAGGGCTTAGTCAATAGTTTTAACTACGCCATTTGTTTAAATGAGCGCGATGCTTTGAGGACAGTGTCTTACTAAGGTTAGGAAGGGGAGCTAGTGGTGTGTGTCCGAGGCTGCGCCATTTCCCCCTTCAGAAGCCTCCCCCGCTCGTCCCAGCACCCTGATCTCAGCGGCGTGGAGAGGACGCGCCCCGGGAGAAGGGGGTGGCAGCTGGTCTTCAGGTCACGGTCATGCTCAGCTCCAGCCGGAAGTGGTCTTTTCCGTTCTTAAGTAGCAAGTGTCCATTTGAACGAGCGACCAGGCCTGCATGTGGGTTTCTCCTGGGCGCGTCTCGCTCTGCTCGCCTGGAAGGGCCTCAGTCCCCTTTCTTCCTTTCCTTGGCGCCAGCCTTCGTGTGCGGCCGGCTGGCAGCTGCTGCTTTTCACTGCACCAGGGACAGTGAGCAGGGCACAGGGAGGCCGGCCTCCTCGCGAGCACGACTGGCGTCCTCCGACGCCACACCTCTGGCCACACAGATGCCTCTACGGTCCTCACCAGCCTCAGGGTCCCCCCAGGATGAAGTCCTCTCGCGGGGCTCGCCCCAGGGTCGGGGGCCAGGTGTTTCACTGAGGATCTGCATTTCAAACTGTTTTTAAGTCGTCGTACAGGAAGAGATGTGACGAAAACCTGCATCTCAAAGCCGAGTGTATTTCTCTGCGCGGTCATTTTAATGAATTCCTTTTTCATTCTGATCTTTGTTCAGCCAACAGAAGCAGCCTTTTCTAATGTCTTCCGTCCCTGCCCACCTAGAAATAAGAAAAGAATTCTCATTTGTAGCTTGCTATCTGTATTTGCATTTTTAGCAATTTTATATTTAGATATCTTTGAAAAATGTAAATGACCAATTTGGTTATTAAATCCTGTGACATATTCAGTATTAAAATAAAAGTCCTGTAAATACCATCTTCTGCATATTGCTTTGAATTTTGAAGTCCCGAGGATGTTATTCTGAAGGCGGGGGACTCTGCGGCGAGTCGCTCCGGATGGCAGCGGATGTGGTGCCGAACGTCTGTGAAATGCACTGGGGCCTCCTCAGTACTGAGCAGGACAGGGAGACCCTCTTCACTGACAGGGGACATTGAAATCATCGCCTCCTTCAGTTAAAGAATCAACACCCTTCTCGTATGAGTTACAGCACATGCAGTTTACGTAAAGCATGTCCACTGAAGGGGTAATTTAAGGGGCCACTGTAACCACCCAGGACAGGCTTTTCAAAGCAGGAGCTCAGCACCCCGAGTGACCTGACAGGCCCCACTTCCCCTTTCCAGCAGCTTCTCCTGACCTGGCTCCAGCGTGACCCGCTGCCCCACCCCCCGACGTGATGATAACTCGCAACCCCCCTGTGGGTAGCCTGGCAAGGCTGGGCAGGGGTCCCCGGAGCCCGGGCCCAGCTGGCCACTGAGAACAGCCCCGTGGTCTGAGGGCCTGCTGCGGGCCAGGCAGGCTGTGCGTTGGCCCTTAATAAGTGCGCGTGAGCCGTGTAAGGCCCGCAGCCATCCCTGGTGCGCAGGCTCCGTGGCTGCATCCAGTCCCAGCTCCTCTCCTCACCAGCCTCACACCCCTAGGTAAGTGGTTAACTTCTCTGTGCCTCAGTGTCTGTGTCTAAAATGGGATGAAAATGCCCACTTCTCCAGGCCGGAAACAAGATGGAGTGAGACGATACTGGAATCAAGATTGAACGAGACGATACATGCACAGTGCCTGGCATATAAACATGATAAGAGGCAGCATAACATTGACATCTGTCATCTCACTTAATCCAGCTCCCTGGATGGCATGTGCTCCCCAGTAGTACCCTCTCTCTAGGGGACCCCGCTGTGCCGAGCTGGCCCCTCAAGTTTCAGAGCCCCAAAAAGCTGCCCGTGGCAGATGCCAAGAGCAGCTTCCTCAGTGCCCAGGAAGGAGGCACAGGGGAGCCAGGCCTTAGCCCTCTGCCTCAGGGACAAACAGCTTGATTAGGGGGCATGGTACCATGGGCCTACACCCAGTCCCAGAGCCACCCTCTGGGCCTCTATCCCCCCACCCTTCTTCAACTGATTTTGTAAAACAAACATCGAGGTCCCTCTTCAGAAGCAGACCCTGGAGTCGGGCAGATGGTGCTCAAAGCCCGGCTCTGTCTCCCGGTTGGTGTGTGCTTGGATGAGCTACTTTACTTCTTTGAGCCTCAGCTGCTGCTTCTGAAAAATAGGGACCATAATACCTACTTCAAAGTGGTGGTGTGAGGACTGCATGAGTTTGCTAGTCAGGTGGGCCGGGCTCTGCTGCAGCAACAAACAGCCCCAAGGCCTCAGTGGCTTAACATTTCTCTTCACACACAGTCAGCCGTGGATCTGGCCATCCTCGGGCTTCCACAAAGGCTGGGGTGGGGACAGAGGGCTAGAAAGTCAGCAGTAAAAATGTCATACTATGGTTCAAAAGTGACACGTCACTTCCCACTTCCACTCACGTTTCATTGGCCAAAATTAGTCACATGGTGACACCTACTTCAAGGGGACAGCAGGGTGTGACTTGCAGGTCCTGTACCAGTGCCTGCCCCGCCTCTTAAGCCCTTGAGAAAGGCTAGTTAGTGTTTTACTAGCCGTTTTCCCAGTCCAACCTCATGTCCACCTAACCCTCGTTTTACGGTTGAGGAAACAGGCAAAGAGAAAGCCCCTCACTGAGGCCATGCAGCTGGGAAGTGGCCAGTCAGCTCTGCCACCTCCCACCTGCCCCCACGAGCTGAACCGGTGGCCCAGGTCCTGAAGGCCCCACCGAGGCGCCACTGGGAGGACCCTGTGTTTGGAAAGCAGCCACGGAGCGGGAAGGGTTAAGCCTGTCGTGTGTTCCCACCAAACCTCTGCTTAAAGCAAAGTCCCAGTAGGGTGGTGTTTGCTGTAAAAGCCCTAAGAGTGATTTGTGAAGTCTGGAAGCCCCGTAATCTCGTCAGCGTAATGGGATTATATTTCAAATCACCCGGCCTGTTCATTACCCATTTAAACTCCTCCGACAGAGGAAAACTTACATAAAACGCACACGGCAGCCCTCGCCGACTCCCCACTCTCCTCCCTGATTAGACAAACAGATGCTGAGGTCTGGAATGAAAAAATAATGTGCCCATTTATTCATTTTTCTGACAAGTCACAATAGATTTTTAACTGCCAATGAGTGACCTCCCGGAGGTGCCCACCAGGCTGCGAGCGGTCATTTCCGCCAGCCCGGCCCCCGGCCCTGGCGGGGAGTCTCCTGGGGCCCGAGCTGGCTTCAGCCTGAGCCACTCTCCTCGCTGTGTCCTGGCCCCAGGGGTGTGGACAGCCTGGTGGCGAGGGCTGCCTGCAGGGTTCTCGGTTGTCAGTGTGCAGAGGGGCCTCTGGGCGACCAGAACACAGCGGTGGCCTGAAGTCACAGCCCTGGGTAGGAATCCCAGCCCTGCCCTTGTCTAGCCGGGTGATTGAGGAAAACTTTAATCTCTCAGAGCCTCAGTTTTCCCATCTGTAAAATGGAGATAGTGAGAGAGCTCATGTCCATGGTGAGGGTTCAGGGGCACGGCTGGGCTGGCACTGTGCCTAGCTCCCACTTCAGGTTCCCTGGGATGGCTGTGACAAGGAGAAAACAGGCCACCAAGTGCCAGGCTCTCCCTCCACCCTGACCTCTGGCACCATTGAGCTTTGCAGACAGGCTGGTCACTTGCTGTGTCCCAGGGTCACGGCGCAGGCAGATGGAGGAACCTCTTTGGCTCTCTGCTCTGACGCTGCCTGGAGCAGAGGGAAACTGGAGGAGGAGCAGTTGGGTTAGGGCCCCCTGGGTTCTCCCGTTGGCCCCCCTCCTAATTCTTTTGCTGTGAGGAGAGAGGAGAGCCAGAGCTCTAATGCGAGTGGTGGGCAGGCCAGGGCTGGGATCCAAGGAAGCCCTGCTCCAGCCACAGGGAACCAGCTACAGAGGGGCAGGCAAGGGGGTGAAGGCTCAAGGAGCCTCAAGACTGAGCTGAGAATCTGCAGAGGGAATGAAAATCTGCCTCCCTGCTGTGTGACCTTGGACCCATGACTCAACCTCTCTCAGCCATTTTCTCATCTGCTCAACTGGGACAAAATCCCACCTTCCTCAGGGAGTTGCATGAGTTGTAAAGAAGATGATGCCATAGACCCACGCACAGTAGGGGACCAGTAACAGGTATCCATGGAGACAAAGGTGCCCAGTCACATACCCACTGGAACACACAGGCCAAGGCCTCTCCCTGCCAGCAGGACCTCAGGGCTCAAGGGGCAGCCCCAGCACCCCCAGGGAAGCCCTGGGATCCAGCTGGGGGCCTTCACTCTCCCTCTAGGGCCCCACCATCGGCTTTCACGGGCACCCGTCTGCCTCAGCCCAGTAGCCCCAGGCAGCTCACATCTTTATGCATTGACTGAATATGTAAGAAATACTGCGAAGCTAATTCTTTTTAAAATGATAAAATTTGTCTATATTATAGCATTCCAGCCCCCAGCTTCCTGAAAGCTAAAAATATTTTAATGTCATATTTCCATGTAAATTTTACTTTAGAATTTAATACCCTTTTAACATACATTAAATTTTTAGCATTCTTCAAGCCCTTGACTCTTGTAAGGGCTTAGCTGATAAGCGTTGGAGAAAAGGGCTGAGGGAGGCTGTAAATTAGTAGAGAAAGTTCTAGAATCAAGGTTACCCCCAAACCTACATACCCACCTCATCTTGGGAGTTGCTCCTCTGGGCTGGGGAGTGTCTGAGCCAAACCCTGGGATCCTGGGGAGGTGTCAGAAGTCTCAGTTTCCTTACAGGAAGGAGTGGCTGGGGCTGGGGCCTTGGCTGGGGTACCATGGGGTTTCAGCACAGCAGCAGCCCAGGCTGGAGGAACTGGGATGGCCTGGAGGCCCAGAGCCCAGGTGCTGCCAGGCTGCCAGTTCAGATCCTAGTTCTGCCGCTTGCTGGCAAGTGGCCTCGGCATGCTTTCTACGCCTGTTTCCAAAAGTGGGGCCGCGATCAGAGTTCATGAGCAGGTTATCAGCTCCAAAGAGGAGGGGACCTCCCTGGTGACTGGCTGGCCTTGCTAATGGATCCAGAGTGATGACATGTGAGAGCAAGAATGTATCACTGTGACTGATCTGTACTCCGCTCCACTTCCCGGAGTGAGACCTCTGTCACCCAGCGATGCGGGGACTTGACAAAGTCAAAGGTGTCTTTGCAAAGCCCCACGATTGGTCCATGGGCTGCAGCCTCCCATTAGTTCTCTCCCTGAGGCTTGGCCAAGAGCAGCCAGGAGAAGCCTCTGAAAATGGCAAGGAGGGGTTCAGGGCAGCCTTTGGGGGAAAGTGGGGTGGGGGCTTCATGCCCCCTGGGTTCTCAAGGCCAAGGTCTGGGGCCTGCCCACAGGCCTCAAACTCTGGGCTCTGGGCTGCACTGACCTGGGCCCACACCCCCTGCGTGAGTCACCATGCTTGGGTACTTGAGTGAACCCCCAATGTCTGAGAGCCCACCTGTGAAATAGGGGTAGAAATAATCAAGCCTTCCTGGTGGGGCTGCTGGGAGGACCGGCGAGGTCACGCAGCAAAGGACCCAGCACAGTAGGAGTTGTGAACACATGATGCTTAGCAGAGAGCTTGCTCGGCCGTCTAGCCAAGCGATCATTAACTGGAATGAGAAATTTACAATGTGGAGACGTGAGATTCAGGGAGATGGACAGCTCTGCTTCCTAATCACTTTGGGGGATGATATAATGCACTGATTGACAAAGAGCCACAGTTGGGGCTCTGACCAGAGTCTGTGACTAAAGCAGCAGGCCTGTTAACTTAGATTTACAACGAGCATCTCCATCCCAGCAAGAGGAAGGCATACGGGAGGGGGGGGGAGCTGCTGCTGGTGTGACATGCTGGAGAGAACCAGTAGGGACCCCTCTCGAGCCTGCCCCAGAAGCC